TACACACACACACACACACACACACACACACACACACAAACAAGCGCGCGCGCGACTCTCACAGACACTCTCGCTCTCTTTCTTTCTTTCTGTCTTTTTCTCCCTCTCTCAAACATACACACAGCAGAGATAGACAGACAGGCAGACAGACAAATAAATAGACAGAAAAATATACAAATAAACAAACAAACAACAAACGTAAGCTTTAAGTTACGCGTCAGCAAGTTCATGAGCCAGGGTGACCCGTATGTCCACTCCCGTGTCCTCTACCACAATACATCGAGTCAATACAAACAGACAGAAAGTCAGATAGACAAACAAACGAACAAGTGAACAAGCAAGTAGACAAAAAAAAAACCAACGAACGAACTTTAACTTTAACTCATGAGTGGCCCAATTCATGAGCTAGCGTAATGTCTATATTATCTATCCCCGTGTCTTTTCCCACAGTACTGTGAGTACAGATGACAGACATACAGACATACAAACATACAGACAGACAAACAAAAAAAAAAACTAACAACACACGAACATAAACCTTTAATTCACGAGTGTCCGAGCTCATGAGCCAGTGTGATGCCCATCTACCCCCGTGTCTTTTCCCACAGTACAGTGAGTACAGATGACAGACAGACGGAAATACAGACATACAAACATACCAGCATACAGACAGACAGGCAGACACACAGACACACAGATAGACAAAAAACAAACAGTAAACGAACATAAACTGTTACTCACGAGAGTCCTTGTTCAAGAGTTAGCGTCATGTCCATATTAACTACCCCTGTGTCTTTTCCCACAGTACAGTGAGTGCAAATGACAGTCAGATAAACAGACCGACATACAGACATAATGCAAACAAACAAACAAACAAACAAACAAACAACACACGAACATAAACCTTTAACTCACGTGTGTCCGAGCTCATGAGCCACTGTGGTGCCCATATCTACCCCCGTGTCTCTTTCCCACAGTACAGTGAGTATGGATAACAGACATACAGACATACATACAGACATACAGACATACAGACAAACAAACATACAGACAGACAGACAGATAGACAGACAGACAAACAAACAAATAAACACACAAACAAAAAACAAACAACACCCAAACATAAAGCTTTAACTCACGAGTGTCCGAGCTCGTGAGCCAGTGTGATACCCATGTCCACCCCTGTGTCCTCCACCACGGTACAGCGAGTGTTAACCCCACACATCCCGCTAATAGTCGCAAGGCCGGTCGTCTTGGCGCCACTCTGGCCGTGCACCAGGTCCAGTCTGGGAACAAAAGGGTTAATGAATGTACCGAGTTACGAGAGCAGATTGTTTCTGGTTCGGTAGAGAGCGTTCTTGTTGTTGTTGTTGTTGTTATTGTTGATGATGATGATGATGATGATGATGATGATGATGATGAAAATGATGATGATGATGAT